AAATAATAAGATGCAGAAAGATATAAGATTAATCAACAATAATTTACTGAAAAATAGTGGAAAAAAAAATTTACTGAAGACCACAGTTTTAAATTTTGAGAGGAATTTAAGAGATATGAAAAAAAAGGGAGATAAAATATGAAAAAAAGGGAGATAAAATAGAGGATTTTAAAGTTTGCTGGAAAGAAAACTACTTTTAAAGCTTTATTTTGGAGATGAGTAATTCTTTAAAAAAGATGCTTCTGATTATGTCCCCAAACTAGTCAAGCATATCTGAGAGAAGATTGAAAAACTGCATGATACATATTAGGAAGAGTTTCATGAATGACATTATGGTAGATTTTGGAGATCCAACATTCCTATCAATCTACTTAAGTCAGCATCAAGTCTTGAAACCTTCAAATAATAATTAAGAATCCAAGATTGATTCCAAGATATTTGATAGAATTTACAAGATTTATTTTCTGTCCACTTAATCTAAAATTTAGCAGTTTGCTTATTTTTATTTGAATTCAATAATTTTATATATTTTTTTTTTTTTATTTTTTTTTTTTTTTTGAGTTAAGGGATTTTATTGGAGCCATTAAACCATTAAACAATGTTGGTTAGATCATAATTCATATTTTTGTTGAGTTTTTTTTAGTGATTTGTTAACTAGGAGCAAGTTATAACTCTAGGAATAAGTACCAATTAAAAAAATGGTAAGCAGTAGAAAATTTAAGCAAAACATCCAGATAGTTGATAAAAAGTAAGGGTTCTACTTTTATTGAGTTTTCATTTATTAGAGTGTTTGTTACAGAAACCGTATATCTAAAAAAAAATAAGAAAACTTTGTATTGTCACTATTGTGACTGTTAAAAGCAACCTTTCTAAAAAAAAAAAAAAAATTCTGTAACTTTTATAACTATATTATATTTATTAGATTTATAACTAGTCTAGTTACAAAAGAAAAATATTAAGTAGAACATAATAATATTTTAAAAAGTATTTTCAAAATATCTGGAAACTAATTAAAATATTAATTTCAAAACAAATTAAAAAAATAGTTAAACAAGATTGCAAATTTTCAAATAAAATTAGATTTCTGTTTTAGATAGCCTATATACTTGATTTTTTTTCTTATTACTTCCTAATTTATTCCTAATTTTTGACCAGATAACACCAAATGTTTTTTTAATTGATAATGAGTTAGCAGGATAATGTTTTAGGCAACTTTTACTGAACTAACTTCTCATTTTACTGGGTAATGATTGATCACTGCACAAAACTGTTGATTTAAGTTTTGTACTTAAAATCCTTGTTCGAAAAATATTATAACCTTTTAGCTTAAGTAAAAGAAAAAAGGTACAAAATCCAGGTAAAAAAATCAGCATAATGATTGTGAAGCCATTCTTCTACTATTATCTTCATTTTAAATTGTCAGGTTTTTACCTATGAAAAAAAAAAATTAGGACAAACCATATAGCCGTAAAAAACCAATTTTAGTAAACTTCTGTAATTTGTATTTACCAAAAAAGCAAGGATTGGTCCTGTATGCAAGATAATGGATAGGTGTTATTATATTGTCGCATTTTTTCTTAGCTGTTTTGGTAATGACTAAGTTCACGATTGTTTGGAAACCACAATTCAACAAAATCTGCCATGTGACAGCTGTCACTTTGCATCTATCAAAAAATTAAAGGTCTATAAAGTCTAATTTTGTAATAAAAAATAGATATTTTGCTATTTTTATGGATACTTTGCTATATAGATTTTACTTTAATTAAAAACATAAAATCCTTGATCTAAAACAAGCCCAAATATTTTGAGTAGGATTCGAAGACTTATTTTTTATATTCTGTTACCATAGCAATTCCTTCTTTGTTGTATCTTTTCTTAAGATCTTTAATAACGTTATAATTTTTATATTTGATGCATATCAGTTATGTATAAAAGTTTAAACATTTTATGCATAAAGTGCACTGTAAATAATAGGCCGGGTGTCTTAACTACTACAATTTTTCAAACATTTGTGTAATTTGCTGACACTATTGTTAAAAGAATTCTTTATAAATGATTACTTAAGCTTTTTTAAAAAATAATATATTTTTTTCAAAGGGAAGCATTTAATTAAAACATTTATTGAGATCGGACATGTAAGTAAAATTAAATTGGACAAAATTAATAATATTCTTAGAAATAAATTAAATTTGCAACAGTGGAAAAATACCACTGATGTTATAAATTGGTTCTCCATAATCGATAATAAAAATGACATTTATTCAATTTGATATTAATGATTTTTACCCTTCAATAACTGCAGATATTTTAGATAAAACAATCGAATTTGCAAAAAGCCACACAGTTATTCCTGAAGAAACAATTCGCATAATAAAACATTGTAGAAAAACCTTACTTTATTATAATAAGGAAACTTGGAAAAAGAAAAACATACATAACTGCTTTGATGTAACAATTGGCAGTTATGATGGAGCAGAAATTTGTGAACTTGTTGGATTATATATTTTAGATTTATTAAGTAAAATAATCAATATAAATGATTTAGGCCTTTATCATGACGATGGTTTAATAGTAATGCGTAAAAAATCTGGTCCACAGCTTGATAAAATTAGAAAAGATATTATAAAAATTTTTAAAAATATTGGCTTTCAAATTGAAATAAACATAAATTTAAAAATTGTGAACTTTCTTGATGTCACATTTAACCTCTCGGAAAATACATATAAGCCTTTCAAAAAACCAAACGATGAATTATTGTATATTAATATTAACTTAAATCATCCACCCCAAATTCTAAAACAAATCCCGATTTCAATTAATAACAGGCTTAACCAAAACTCCTCTAATGAAAATGTATTCAATTCCTCCAAACAGATATTTGAAGATGCCCTTAAAAAAAGTGGTTTTGAAAACTTTGAATTAAAATTTGACCCTGAAAAAAAGAATACAAAAAAGCAAAATAGAACTAGAAATGTAATTTGGTTCAACCCCCCATATAGCAAAAATGTTTCCACAAACATAGGAAAAGTGTTTTTAAAATTGATCGATAAGCATTTCCCGCCCTCTAATAAATTACATAAAATTTTTAATCGAAATACTATTAAAGTTAGCTACAGTTGTACAAAAAATATGGAAAGAATTACAAAAGGTCACAACAATGCTTTGTTAAACAAAAAAGAAATCCAAAATGAAAAAACTACAAAAAATTTTAATTGTAAACAAAAAAACAATTGTCCAATGAGTGGAAGTTGCTTATCAAAAAATGTGGTATATAAATGTGTTGTCTCCTCTAAGAATGTACCTGATAAACAATATATTGGCATAACAGAAAGTGAATGGAAAAAACGTTTTGCCAATCATAAGCAATCTTTTGAAAATAAAAAGTATTCATTTTTGAAAATAAAAAGACACCATGCTGTCAAAATATATATGGGAATTAAAAGATAAAAATATTGATGATTTTACACTGAATTGGTCCATCCTTAAAACAGTGCCTGCATATAACAATATTTCCAAAAAATGCATACTATGTCTACAAGAAAAATTTGAAATAATTACACATACAAACCAAGAATGTTTATTAAACAAAAAATCGGAATTGATTTCTAAATGCAGGCACGAAAATAAGTTTTTCCTAAAAAACTAGAGAAATAAGTGAGCTCAAATAATAGTTACATTAACTTCCCTTTGAAAAAAATATATTATTTTTTAAAAAAGCTTAAGTAATCATTTATAAAGAATTCTTTTAACAATAGTGTCAGCAAATTACACAAATGTGTGAAAAATTGTAGTAGTTAAGACATGTGACTTCCTGTAATTTAATTTTTGGTATAAATTGAAGTTTTATCAATTTGATCATTCATTTCTGATGAGTCTTTATTGATGAAACACAGTGTTAAATGAGAAAAAATTTTGCTAAGTGATTTTCTACTAATATATATATATATATATATATATATATATATATATATATATATATATATATATATATATATATATATATATATATATATATATATATATATATTCATAGTTTCTTGTGTCCAGAAGCTCTAAACATGTTGGTTGATTTATGATCTGCTTTAAGAAAAAAATTTATGATATTTAATGACTTGGAACTTATTGTTTTTAACCCGGGAGTTCCAGAGTACTTTGTCGCCATTATACCTAAAGACTCTGGGTTCAAAATTGATTGCTTCTCTAACCTAAATGCCTCAATTTCTTCCCCATTAGTAGTCCATAATCTTTTTTTCAATTTTAAAGCTCCTGGATACCAAAAACTAGTAAGAGGTAATCTTTTTGTGACTTTCAAATCCGGAGTCCTTTTTGGGACTCTGTATCCTTGATGGATTATTAGAACGATAAATAATCTAAAAGAAAAGTGATAAACATAAATAAAAATAATAATAATACAAAGAATAAATAGCAACAATAAAAAACTTCAATAGATTGTACTAAATTTATAAAAAATAGTAATACAAAATCATAAGTTTAATCAGTGGTAGGTACAGGTCATTGCCCTTGGGGAGGAGAGGGGGAGGATAGCCTATAATGGAAACCTAAATAACACTTTTTTTATTTAATCACTTACAATTAAAAAAATAACAAAAATTTAATTTTCATTTATAGAAACAAAAATTTACTGCATATAGCTATTTAAAGCTATATCAAGCTATAAATAGGTGATGTGCAGTTAAAATTAAAATAATACCTTCAACATCTCTCTTTTAAAAAATTTATATAAAGTTAACAAACTAAAATATAAAATGGAGCTTTCTAGTTTTTGAAAATGCAAATATTTCAATAATCTTTTTAAAATTTGTGATGCAATCTGTGTGGATATACATTATAGCCAAGCCATTTAAATGTTCTTGTTCATTTGTTGGTCTTAACCAAGCTAAATGTCTATTTATAGCTGAGAAACTATTTCTCCTGAAGCAACGCTAATGGGAAGGGTGAAAGCAGTTGCAAAATACATTTATTTAAAGGGAAGACATTACCATTAAATTGCTTGTATGCTTCTAACACAAAGTAAGTGTTGTCGTTTTTTGATCACATCTTTCTATTTTAGCTTCCAAAACTCAAACTATGAAAAAAAAAAAATTGTTTGTCCAAATAGTATCTATGTTAGACAGCCCTTTCATATAACTCAATAAATTATTTACCAATGCTGTTAACTCGGCCTTTATTTTATTTAATAAATTCCTAGATAATTTTACTTTAAAGTGAAAAGATTTTAAGGTTTCATAAGAAAATTGAAATTTTAAACTAGAAATATACTATCCAGTATCCAGTAACAGTAAATAAACATTGACTCAACTAAACTTGTGGATGATTGGTATTGAGGTTTGGGCACTTTGTTTTCTTGTAATTCATGGAAACCTGATTTCTGATCCTATGTCTTCTAGTAACTTTATTGTACTCTTAAATATAACAAGTAGTAAAGATATTAAATAAAAGACAACAAAATGATAAAGTTTTCTTCATCATTTTTTCGTCTTTTACTAAATATCTTTATGCTATGTTTTAGTATAGTTTTTGGATATTACTAAGTTTTTTTTTACAGTGAAGAGCTTCACTGTAGTAATGCTCAGTGATCATCCAGGTTTATATTTTAAATAACCGGAAAACGCTTTGCAAAAAAAAAAAAAAAAAAAAAAGAGAAAAACCTAGAAGTTAAGCTACAGACTTTCTCAATTTTTTTTGAAACTTTTTGTAAGGGTAATGATTAAAAAAGTTAAGAAACAAATATATTGCAAAAACATTTGATTTAAATTTGTATTTACTGAAAACTTTTGGAAATCTAGAAAAAAGTGAAAGTTAAATAAAAATTTCTAAAATTACAAATATTTCCAGAAAAAGATTATCCTTGTAATACTGCCTTAGTTAAGGAAATTAGTTTTTTCCCCTGAAAATAAAAGAGTTTCTACTATTTTTGTCAAGCAAATCTAATTTAATACAGAACCATGTTGATCAATTAATTTTGTTTCACAAATTTATAAGCATTTCCTTATTTATATATTTAAAGACATTACTTTGTGAAACTTTAAAAAATTATGACATTTCTTTTATTGTGCTAAAATTTTTTCTTGCAGCTTGTATAGATAAACATTTAGAAATTAATAAGTTTAAAGCATCATTATATCATGCACTTTTATTGCATTTGTTAGGATCTTCTGTAATTTTATGACTGCTTAGTTATTTTCACCTAAATTAAAGCTGCAACTATTAGTTAATAACACAATCCTTTAAATTAAGGCCAAATTTTGTCAATGTGTTTACTACCGTAAACTCGTAAAATTAGAATAATTTTCGGTATGCAGTTTACAAAACCAAAAAAACTATAACCTTTGGAAATTTAGGTATATGTTTTTTGGACAAAAAGCAACTAATATTATTACCCTTCTTTGAATGCACAGAAAAAAGATATTTTAATTCATACTTGGAAACCAATTGCATTTTTAATATTTAGCAATAATCTTAGTCAGACATATGACATAACTAAGATGTCCATATGTCAATAGACAAATAGCTATAACTTGTGGTTGAGGCTATGGAATCTTCTTTATTAATTTCACTGACTTTTTTGTAGAACTTTCATACCAAAATCAGGTTCAAGAGAAGAAAATCTAAATTCTTTAATTGTAACCTGATTATTTTCAATCTTGCCAATTAATATACAATTACATTGTTTAGATGATGATACTCAAGACGAAACCAGCAAAACTCTGTATTAGTAGATTTTTGATTTTTTTGAAAAAACACTATTATAAAATGCTAGCTCTTTACTTTGGTGATCATTACACCTAACAAAATAAAAGTCATTTAAAACAGTAATATATGCATCATTGTTTATAAGTAATTATTTTATAAGAAATAGTCCTAGAAGCCCAGTATTTTTTTTATAACTACCAAAAACGGCTAAATTAAATTTTAATACCAATTAAAAATACAATTAAAAAAATTAAAATAACAATTGAAACCAAACCTGTTAGAAAGATTTAAAAAAAAACAATTTTTAAACAGTATTTAACAATTTTCAAGTCATTAAAATTTACTCAGTTTTAAGTGAGTGCTGAGCTTAAAAATAGAAATTCTTCTTTTCTATTGCTTGTACAGTTCTTTTCATTCTATAACAGAATGCTATTACTTTTTTAACATTATGATGTTGAAAAACTTTCTTCAATTTTTTTCAATAAAATTAAATTGATTAGATTGCAATAATAGCTTTTTTTAAAAAAGCAATTGTTTTATTCATAATATTTTAAAATTTAAAGTCCTAATAAATAATTATTTTTTAATATCATAAAAAAGTTATTAAATATGATTAAAAAACAAAATGTTAATAATTAGCTGCAGGAATAGTTTTTGTGTATTATTATTTCTTTTAAAATTTTTATCAAGAATTTTGTTAAAATTTACTCCCTTTACCGTTTCGCCCTTGTATTTGCCACCAGGATTGGGGTCAAATGCCTATTCGTATTTGACTTTGTATTCGTATTTGGTAAAAATGGGCTGTTTTGGCATATTTATATTTGTATGCTATTTGATAAAAGACTAAGTGCTGGAATTATATCAGAATTGCTGAAAATGGAAAAAAAAAATTTACTGTTATAATTATCGGTAAAAGTAATACACTTAACTTTAATTTTTTAACCAAAAATTAAGATGTTTTTAACAACTATTTGCCTAGCAATTTTTTTCACGATATTTATATAAAAAATTAAATACTTACAACAACATCAAAGTATGAAGACTTAAATTGATATTTAACAACTTCCTTTACTACATTTTTATTGAATCCACCATCAACCTAGAATTACATTTATTTAATTGTTTATGTAATACATTAATAATTAATAATTAATAATTACTTTTTTAATTATTTATATTATTTAATTATTAATAATAATAATAATTAACAATTACATTACAATACACACACTTGCTTTTTTTATCAAACCATTTAACTTTTTAATAGAATTTTCTGAATAGCCTTAACAAAAACAATTAAATCATTTTAAAATATGTTATCGAAATTCTATAATCAACATTTTATGATTTTGTTTGTAAAAAATAGTAACAAATAAAGTTTATTAAAAAAAAAAGTTTTATTAAAAAAAAAATACCATAGCAAGGTCAATAATTTATTTATAACAAACATACCAGTTATTAATTCATGCAAAATTAATTTAAAAAAATATGTTTTATTGTTGCTCTTTTGCATTTTTTTTTTTTTTTTTTCCGCTAAACTAATAGTCTAATTATTACAGGGTTTTTCACTTCAATTCCACATTGTATCACCTCATTTCAACATTGTATCATTCAATTTTGACAGTTACAATACATTTTAAAAATTTAAAAACATTTTGAATAAAAAATTTCATAATTATGATGAAAATTTTTGTTAAATGATAATGGTTTGTATTTAATCAGGCCAATAAAATAATTAACCTGGCTGTTTTTTTAATTCTAAAATATTTAAAGTTTTTTACTGATTCTCTTCTTGAACAAGGAATCATTTACCTAACCGTGCCCCAAATAATTATCACAACTTGTGCTAGTAAAATTCAATGAACTGTTTTGTATATGAATTCAAGTCTTCCTCTTCAGTTCTAGATGAATGTCTTCTGATAAATTGTTTCCATTCAGAAAACACATTTTCAATGGGATTTAAAAAAGGAGAATATAAAGGTTAAAAACATTAAAGAACAACAAGCTTTATGAAAATGAACAAAGTCTAAAATTAAGGTAACTTTAACAATTTCATTAACAGCTAGGTGATCTAGACAAATAAAATATAAAAAGCTTTCTGTATTAAATGCTCTTGTTTGTGCTTCATATGTCAAAATTCTATTTTTATTCATTGCACAACAGTTAGAAATATTTCTTGATTATATATTGGTCACTGTTTTTGTGGCCCTCTTTTTACATCTAAAGAATGTCGTTATTTAATTTGCATTTAAAGACTAAACCCTCATTCACAAAATGCTCATGAATCTTTGCATAAATACCTCTTTCAAAAACGTCTTCAAAATTTTTTCATTATGGAACAATGTGAACATGTTTTTAGGTATTTATTTAACATTGTGAACATGTTTTTAGGTTTTAAAACTATCAATGCTATACTAGAATGATTAAGTGAAATTGATTTTTGTTTAAAAAATCTTTGTTTAATTTCCTTAAGAGTTATTCCACGATCATTATCAATCAAACTTTTGATTATTATCTTAGTTAATTTTTTGTTTTAAGAATCGCCTTTTATTTTATCCGCAAACCATTTTTATATTCTTCAATAATTGAATAGATCATAGTTCAGTTAAATCCAAAAATATTTACAATTTCTGATGGTGAATTCCCATTTAATAAGATTCAATTACCCTTGAACAGTTTCATTGTTGATTGTTTGATTCAGAATTGCTGTTTATAAATATTCAAAATGGTATGTAAACTTTTAGGATGAACTCTGATTGTATTGAAGAGACGAATTTTTAAAATAATAAAAGTATTTTTTGTTTTCTAGATAAAAAATAATCAAATTAATTTATAGTTTGATGACAACTTATTATTGTTGAAATATTAAAAATGTAGACATTTTTTGGCAATTAAAAACAAGTATTATAATGACTTAAAATAATTTGTATCCACATAACTTACAGGGTTTCCCACCTCATTTTGACATTGTACCACCACATTTCAATATTGTATCAGCACATTTAAACAATTTAAAAGACTATTTTGAACAAAAAATTTTATTTTTATGATGAAATTTATGTATTTAATCAAGCCAATAAAATAATTAACGTGGCTGTTTTTTTAACTTTAAAATATTTAAAGTGGATACTAAAACCACAAATGTGGTTTCAAAGATTATTTTTTGGATATACATAAAATATATATATATGCAGTATTAGCCATTAATAACAATCCAGCATATATTTTATATATATATATATATATATATATATATATATATATATATATATATATATATATATATATATATATATATATATATATATATATATATATAGTATTATATATATATATATATATATATATATATATATATATATATATATATATATATATATATATATATATATATATATATATATATATATATATATATATATATATATACAGACGTGTTCAAATTATTAGACTAAAATTTTTTTCTCGTTTTTTTTTTATTTTTATAAAAATATTACAGATATAACGTTCGTAAATATAAAAAAAACCCTAATTAATACTTGGTATGGAGCCCCTTGGCTTTAATAAGCATATTAATGCGGCTCGGCATGCTTTCTACCAGAGTTTTACAAATGTTTTTGATGTCTTGGTCTTGATGCCATATTTGTATCAGTTTTTCGATGAGTTGTACTTTGGTGGTAATTGTTTCTTTCTTGATCTTTTTCTTTACAACAGCCCACAAATTTTCAATGGGGTTCATTTCGGGACTATTTCCTGGCCACGGCAATGTCTTGATTCTGCTCTGCTGAAGAAATTCTGTCACTTTTTTGGCTTTATGACACGGAGCCCCATTGTGCATAAAAATTACATCTCCCTCTGGAAACCATGTCTTAATTTGGGACATTAACCTATTTTGTAGCACTTTAATATATTGTACATGATTCATGGTGCCTTCTATGATGTACAACATTCCCGGTCCGTGTATTGACATGACACTCCACACCATAACAGACGTTGGATGCTTGACACTCTGGCTAACACACTCTGCCTTGAACTCTTCTCCTGGTCTTCTTCGAACATATTGGCTCTGTTCTTCCACCACCAAAAAGATGGATTCATCGCTAAAACATACCTGGATATAATAAATATACAAATGAGTACACAGAAACACTTTGCAAAAAATTACAGATAAAATTTGAGAGATTCTTTAGAAAAAAAAATTGCCTAAATTTTTTTAGAACTCATCTTCATATTTAAAATAAATTTTGATATCAAATGTTAAGTGAAAACTCTCAAAATGACTTTGAATACAATTTTTGCATACATTTTACCTTACTCCAGTCATAGATAGACATGTTTTCATGAATTTTAGCCCATTCTAGCCTCTTTTTAGCCATCGCTGGTGTAACCTTTTGTTTTTTTCGTGGACGTGACTTTTCAAACCACTTTCAAAAAGCCTTCTCCGAACAGTAACTGGAGAAACATCGACTCCTGCTTCATTAAGTTGTTGACACAACACCTTAGATGTGGCTCTTCTGTTATTAAGTACCATTTTAACCAGATTTCTTTGTGTCCTTGGGGTTATTTTTCTTTTACGACCACAATTCCCTATTCTGTGGTGCTCATATGGCTCTTGATTATCAACACATTTTTTTATTCTGCTTACTGTTTTCTGACTTACACCAACTTTTAAAGCTATTTGAGTTTGTGTGTAAACCTTTTCATCCAACAAAGTTTTTACAGCAGAATATTTTTTGGGGGAAATATCATTTTTTTTGCCCATTGTTAAAACAAAATAATTTCACCAGTTTTAATGTACAATTCCTAAACAAAAACAATTTATTAGTAAATTCGAATTAAGTTTTTATACATAAAGTAATTTTGTAAAGATAATAAATTAAAAGTAATTAAAATTACTTTAAAATGACACCCAAACAACTGCTGCAACATTTTGCTACTAAAGGAAAAAAAACATGCGCTGACTAGCCTCCCAATATTGAAAACGCTCTAACAAAAAAAAAGTGACGTTGCCAAATATAAAAAGTATGTAAAAACATTAGAAAAATGTCATATTTTATACTTAAAATCATTTAACTGTGATACTTGTGAAAATGTAATAGATATTTGAACTCAATCACGGAAAATAATTTTTGTTAAATCTATAGTCTAATAATTTGAACACGTCTGTATATATATAGGACACACCATAATATACATACACATAAATATATATATATATATATATATATATATATATATATATATATATATATATATATATATATATATATATATATATATATATATATATATTAAAATAAATTAAATGAAAAACTCTATTTTTGGAACTTTAAGTATCATGCCTTTCGGCAATTATCAGCAATATTATTCAAAAATATAAAATAAAAACAGTTTGTCAATCACTGGTTTCAAAGAAACAAATTTCATATGCCTACATGCAGAAGCTAATTCACTTTTTTGTTCTAAAGTGATTCACTATCAAGTCATAATAAAATACTTTTCATAAAGACAAAAGTTAAACGTTTTTGTGGATGGGCTGTAAGACTGGCATCTTTAAATTGTGTTCCACTTGATTATAGGCATGTTACCTGTATCTTTATGTTTCCAGATTTCTTTGGAAAGTTCTGTAATGTTTCTGTACCTGGTTGCATAAAAGGATTTAAGGTGGCTTGCAAACCTAAACTTAAATGTGTTTTCACTAATGCCAATGTAAGATTTTTCCATAAAACTAGGATATGCTAATGTTACAGTGGCTTTATATTCAACATTTTTTTGATTTGGTTATGTGATTTTCTTAATGCAGCTGCAGTGAACTTGTTGCACAAAATTTGTTGGTTGTATGAATTAATATTTGATTGAAGATTTAACGTGCATCTGTAACTAACTTTTATTATATTTTTGTTGAAAATTTTGTGGAGCTTAAGATGTAATGGAAAATGGAAATCAATTACGTTAAAGAAAAGGTGTCCAAATTCTAAAAGGAGGATTAAACCATATAATATTTCTTTTTAGTTTATTAGTATTAGAAGGGTATAGATTTAAATGATATTGGAGATTGGTGTATCTTTGTATGTATCTTTATAAATAGGAGCAGTCTTTTGGATTGGAAGATTATCTATGCTCAATTGAAGTTGATAATTTTTTTAAAATGTGAATGGCTGGAACTAGCATGAACACATTTTAACTTACTTATTAGGTTTATGGTAAGTTTGAAAACTGCATTTGTTTAGATTTAATGTAACATCAAGGCAATTAACAATTTTAATATTAGATTAAATGAATCGCTAACTTGAAAAAGGGGACATGTTATGTGAATTTTTGCAGGACATGTCCCCTTTTTCAAATTAGCAATTCAAATGGAAATACTGAGTTTGTTTTGTTTAATATTTATGTAAAATGCTTCCTTATTTTTTCCATTTTTGAACTGCTTGCATTTTTAAACACGACTAAGCCATTATCTCTATATAATTCAAAGTCACTCTTGCTAAAAAATTGCAAAATCTGGAAATAAAGAAAAAAACCAAGTGACTCGCACACCATTAAATGCACCCACTGTAACATCAAACATACGCCATGATTTTTTATCCCAACTTGGTCATTGGTAAATAATAAAGATTTTTGCGCATGAAGAACTAACAATTTATGGTCTGCATCAATGGTAACATATTGTTCTGAAAAAATAATGGTCAATAAGTAGCTTTTCATTAATAGAAGAGCATAATTAATAGAAGGGTAATAGAATAGGATATCAAAAGTAAGGAATTTATAAATATATTTGTCATCAATGGTTTTGAACCATAATAAATATTACATTTTGTTTAAGTACAAAAGTAGTAACTACTTCACTGATTTAATTGCAAAATATTTCTTAGGTTAGAATTAATATCAGATAAAAAAATATTTATTTATCCTACCAATTTCCTCAATATGTCCTCAAAATAAAGTTCCAATAAAAAAAAACTTAAATAGATGACATTATAAAGATCCATCCATACTTTTTTAAGGAATTTGAACAATTTTACAGGAATGTTTACTTGTGGCCCACAACTGAAGGTGATGTTGAAGATGACTAGTAAGCAAAAAATTTAACTAGGTTATGATTTATAATTAAGATTTATTACTAAGATATTCACTTTACATATTAGCTGTGAAAATTGTACCATACATAAAAAACTTAAGAATTTATAAAATTCATTAGTACAATTAAAAGTTAAATAGAAACATGGTTTTCTCAGAAAAATTTATCAATGTCACATCTTTCAGATTCAGTCATTATTGTAGTTTGAATCCTAGAAAAGTTAAAACAGTTTAATACCTAGAATAAAAAAATGATTTATTATAGAATGATAAAGTATCTTTATAATTTGAATAAAAACCTTTTTTTAATGCAGAATTAATAATAATGCTATCAGATATTTATTAACAATTTAATGTCATATAAAGATCAATTTATTTAAACAGAATAAATCTCAAAGCTACCTGCAAAAATATAACCCACATAAGAAATGTCATTAAACAGTCAAACAAAACCAATAAACAAAACATTCTTCTCACAGGAGTCATTTTAAATTTTCCAGTTAAAAATGACATTGTATGAAGAGGAACACCTTGATGCTTCAGTTCATTAGAAAAATCTTTTGAAATATAATTTTCAAATTTATTATCATTTGCTGTTATTAGTTGTTCACAATCATTTGTAAATAAATTTTTCTGAATATATTCTTGTGCTCCAGCATCTTGAAGTGTGTTTAATGATCCGTTACTTAGATTTTGTTCAGCCATATCTATACCTTCCATATATTGTTGTGTTAACAAAATTGTGTCAAGAGAAATTTCACATTTCTATATGTACAAATGATTAATTGTATATACAAATTTGTAATTGTTTTGTTGCATCATGATAAACAAAAAATAAAGAAACTAAAAAAATTGTGAAAAATTACAACAGCCACATTTTCAAAAGAAAGAAGGAAATTTTAAACAGCTATCGTGCATCAAAAACATTAACGTCAAAAACAAAAAAATATTGTGGATACAATAAAGCTTTTTATGATTTTTTTTAGCTAAAGAAAACAAAATAAAACACAAAAGTAATCAAAAAAAGCTATTTAAATAAGTAAAAAACTATACTTTTGTGTTTTCATGACACAATAGAATGTATGTTAACACACTCTGGATGTGATAACATTAAAATAATTATGATATAATTTAAGTTTAATCTTGCTTTACAGATAGTTTGTATTGCATTATTATAATGCAACTTTAAAATGATTATAGTGTTCAATTAATACAATTCTTAATATATCTCAAATTACCAGTTTTGATTTTTACTTTCGGTTTGAGGTCTAAATGTTATAGTATCGAGTAGTAATATTGCAACACTTTCTATCGAGTAGTAATATTGCAATCCTTGAATGTTATACAAATATAATAGCACAAAAAGCTGAATGCAACACCAAGAAAATTGGTCATGTTCAGGTCCCGTCGATAGAGGTGACTCCGGACTACAATGTGACTCTAGACGGACCATTTTTCTTCTTCTTTAGAAATTCTTTAAAAGTCCATATATTTAAAATGGTCTCACCACCGTCGTAAGACGATTTGAAAACGTAAGTCGTGTGACAAGCTTTGTCTTGTAAGATTGTTTTATGATATTACTATCGCTGCGATATTTATGGGACACTATAGCACAGTGAACTGCTTTACACAAGCTAGGTGGACTAAAGTCAGTTCGGTTCAAGGTATTGACTAATTTATGCTATCATATTATAATATAATAGGGAACATGTCAATCCTCATTAGAGAGTGTTTTACACGATACTCTTGGCAGCCATTGCAACCGAAAAAATAGCGAGAAAGAGTAGCAGCACTATTTTATATAAAAAAAGTCAACGAAAGTGTATGCAAATATCTAACTTTCTTCAAATTATGTAATATTAAAAATATACTAAAACATATATCAAGTTTTTCAGTTTTACTTTTTCTGAAAAATTGCATTGCGGCAACATTTGATCACTTAATTCCGTTTGATAAAGTCTTAAATATATTATATACTTTTAAAATTTACGTTAGAGAGTAAGTCTGCGTACTCGGTGTAGTTAAGGCGATTTACAAAATATTCGAATACTTTTATTTAGAATTAGCATGGTTTTGTCAGGATATTATGTCTAAACAAGATCTTTAAATGTTATAAATTTTTTTCATAAGGTTTTAATAATATTTAAAGAAACTTTTCTTTTTTTATATAAATTTCCAAAATTTTTTTACTACTCGCGATAGTGAATCTAAAGAACACTACTTTAGAGTCTTTAGATCAATTTCGCTCATCAACGCACACTGAGGCGGATTAAGTAAAAAACGGCAAAAAGCCACTCAAATTTTTTTCAAATTTTATCATTTTTAGATTTAAAATGTTAAAGTAAATTCCTTTTTGGTAAGAAAACAATAAAAAAAAAAATCACAAAAAAAAACAAAATGTAATATTAACATAAGATAGGTGGAAAAAAATAAATTATGACCATAAAATTTTGAAAATGTAACGTAGTTTTACCGTTTAAACTTACTTCAAGTGTATTTTTGAATCTCTAATAAATGTTATGTTCAACTACTTTGTCCTTTGCAAATAAAAAGGTATTTTGATTTAATTTTAATTTTAAAAACTATTGCTTTTTCGTGATTTATTATTTTAAAATGTTATTTTAAATGCACAACTATAAACATAAGTACTAGCCAATTAAAAGTTCCACGTTATTACACGTTCAATTATGGTTTATATGAACTAGAGATTGCAATTCCGCACACTTTTCAATCCTGCGGGATCCGCGCGGATTTTTTAATTTATGTGCGGATCCTGCGAGATCCCGCGCGGGATTGGTAGATTTCTTATGCACGTTATAAAAGGCAAAATGATAATTGTATTTTTCTTTTAATTATTTCAGAAAAAATATACTCAACTTATTAAATTGATAAGATGAGGTAAATGAAGCCAAAAACACAATTCGTTTGTAAATCAATATAATTCTTAATTAAATGAACAAAAGGATAAGATAACGTCTTTTAGCTTCACGTAGAGCGTCTTTTAACTTTGCTTATTTTTAAAAATAAGTATGAGAAAGTATCATTGTAAGAAATGCGCTCTTAACAAACAGACCCTACTTAAAGTATTATCACATAATCTACTCCTCAAAGGACTGCATATATAGCCAGCAGCTGAAAAAGCTTGCTCGGCTTCAACGCTTGTTGGTGATATGATCATTAAGTAATTATGAGCTATATCTAGAAAATTGCCTCTTACTCCGTTATTTTCATAGGCAGACATTTCCTGCTTCAATAATTTATCAAAGTCTAAAGAATCTAAATTTGGTATCTCCTTTACATTTTCTGTCCAGCTTTTCTTGTCTTTCTGTATATGATTTTCCAATTCTTTTTTCAGCGATAGAATTGTAGGAGCAAGTATTTGGGAATTGTTAATAGAATCTACAGCTTTTTTTTCTTCGAGTTCATTTTCTTTGTCTTTATTTCTTTCAATTGTATAAACTCTTGTCAATATTTTTTTTATTTCTTGACGCATAACGGTATTTTTTGGCATTGAAAAAGTATTTTCATTTTTTTTAATTTCTTGTTCATATTTTTTAGGACTTTGTTAGTAACCAGTAGTCCATTTAAATTCTTATTACGACGTTGTGTAAACCTCTCACCAAGTGCCGCGGCTAAATCAATGCTCAAAAGTGATGATTGCTTTTGTAATTTATCTAACATAAATTTAAAAGTTGTTTCCGCAGTGACAAGGTTCGATTCTCTCCTGCATAATAATTCGAGACCAAGTTTTAGTGGTGCCAGACAAATAATTAAGTCATTAATTTGGGACCATTCTTCTTGGGTCAAACGAATTTCTGACTCAACATAAGGCTTTTTCAATACACACTTTTAGTCTATGAAATCATTCTAACATATCGAACATACTGTTCCACCTAGTTTTATGATCAAGAATCAACTTAAGCTTTTTGCCGTGTTCAAGTATACTTCTGTAAATATGTACTTCTGACATACTTCTGTAAATATGTATCATTTATATGTACTTATACTTATGTACATATGTACTTATGATATACTTCTGTAAATATGTATCATTTTTGACAGGAGAGTTTTTAAATATTTTCACAACCTTTTATCACTTTTTTCATGAGATCTTTGTAATTGCTAACTAATTCAGCAGATGGTCGGTCCAAAATTATTGTCAAACCATATTCTTTATTTATAACTTCATCATCATCAGTGTTCTCATGTTCATCTTCTTCTTCGCAATTTTCATTTGTAGTAAACGAATCTTCGAATTCTCCGTTGTTTTTCTTGTATAAGATATCAATAACTGCAAGTTGTATTCCATGAGCATAACATAATTGATGATAGCAAGACATCATTTTACCGACTTTCACCATCACACTTGCTACATCAGTGGTCATGGCGATAATGTCTTTTTGTAGGTTAATATTGAAGCTATTTAGCCTTCCTGCAACTAACTTGACGCAATATTCTGCATTACACGATCCATGGATTCGAATCAATCCAAGATTAAAGTTTTTTGCCTCCATATGTACATTCAACTAAAGGTATCTCTGACTATTTTGTGATGTCCATTCGTCAAACATTATTGAAAACTTTTGATTTTGCTTTTTTAGTGATATAAATTTTTGCATTATATCGCTTTTACAGAATCTGAGAATTTACTACCATCGATCTTATAGTATTAGGTGAATTAGGGAGCCGGAAACCACTCTTTGAAAACAAATACCGCAAATCTGAAGATGTGCAAAAACTATTAAATGTAAAGCCATCTTTAGCAACCATGCGCGATACCATTTTTTCCATAGAAAGTTCTTTTACGAAAAACGTGTCTATTGTTTTGACCTTTTTTGATAGAATTACCTCTTCGTCTTCGCAGTCAATGTATATTTTAGACTCTAATTCAACTGATTCATGCTGTTTTGAAGTTGAAGCTCCGTCTTGTTGTAAAACGTTTAATTTTAAATCAGTTCCAAGTTTAGTTTTCAAATGGATTAATAACACTTTTGTTGATCTTTGACTAATTTTTAAAATAGCCGAACATAACATGCACTTCGCATTTTCTCCTTTATTACTTTTTTTAAAATAATTCCATATAGTTTTAATTTGCGATATGCTTAGTAGGTACTTTTGTTTTAAAATCTTGATGTAAATAATTTTTAAAGTCTTTTTAAAAAGTAGTGCGCTTTTTATTAATCACGTTTTTAATTTAACGTTTTCAACATACTCATCAACAAAAATTTCAATACTCATTAGCAAGAATTTCAACATAGTCATTAACAAAACAAAAAAAATTTGAACGAGTTTCTCAGTATACATTTCATTGTGCACTTAATGACTAGTAAACTTTTAAATGAATTTGTTATGCAAATACATTAAATACTTTAATTTGATATCTTTTTCGTCTTTATTTATAGAATTGCTTTTTTTTAATTAAAAGCAATCATTTCAAAACTCAGCAAATACTGCGGATCCCGCAAATCCCGCAGTAGTTTTTGCGGGATCTCGCATGCGCTAAAATAATGTGGGATCCCGCGGGATTGCGGGATCACGCAATGCGGGATTGCAATCCCTAAAATGAACTAATAATCTATATTCTAAATAATTCTATAGCAATTTTTGCTCTTTCTTGCTCCTTAAAGAGATATTTCAAACTGATTAAGGCATAGTTTTATTAACTTCAACGTCCGTCCCTATTTTTTTTTAAAAAAAAGACGTTTAGAAGTGTTTGTAAAAATACTCAATAAAATGTTTACATATTTTTCGAAAATTAATAGTCGTTTTATATCTTAATTTGGCTTATATATTGTTACAAAAAGTTTTAGCTTGTGTTTAAACATGAAAAAATTGAATCTATTTTTAAAAATACGTGAATTTAAATTAAATAATAAAAGACTTAATGAAATCCTAATTGAATTTATTAAAACTTTTGAATTAATTCCTGAAGATAAATTAGATAAACTAAATAGGTTATTAAAAAGTTTTATTTCTAAAGTAAAAATTAAGCTTAAAAAATACTGCAAAAACTACGTGAGATTTTTAAAGTTTAAAGCAAATTGGTTGGAGGAAAATCTCTTTGATTACAATATTGTGTCTTATCATTCAAGACAAGGAAGAGCAGTTAAGGATTGGGAAGATCTTGGTCAAAGAAGCAAGCGAGCAAAGATTGCAGATCTATCTAATGAACACCAAAAAGTCTCTGTCTCTTGCTGCTTCAAAAAGTGCAAAAGTAGCAGACGAAAAAGAATTATCTTACATTTTGAAAAGAACTTCTAAATGTATTGATGTAGCTCAAATGAGAATAAGTATCGATTCTTTGATTCCCACAACAATGAATTAGAAGGAGCACTTGCTCTAAAAACCCAAACAAATTTAAGTGATTTACAATACCAGATGTTGAGGAACTCAGCTCTTTCTCATAATGTGAAAATATATCCTAGTCTCAAACTGCTTGGAGAAGAAAAGCTAAAATGTTATCCTGAAGGTGTTCAATTTACTGACACCTCAGCAAAATGCTCTTTACAAAGCATGTTGAATCATACTATTACCAGAATAATTGATATGATTGATTTTAGTGAATGTTTTGAAAAAGAATTAAACGGAATTTTGTACGTAAAAATAGGGTTTGATGGAGCTTCAAGTCAAAGCATACATAAACAAAAATTTGATATCCATAATGATACAGAAGAGATGAAACAAGAAAGTTGTGTGTTTGTCACAGCTATTGTACCTCTTCTGTTTAAAGTTGAAGGTATTGATCTATTCAC